CCTCTACCCATCTGGAAGAATATTTCTTCTTTAAATCCTTGGTTGTCAGACTTCCATCCAGTTCAATTTTCTGGCAGTTATGATTGTTTAGTTTTGAAGTTAGTTGTGAGCCTTCTTATGGTTGTGCAAAGAGGCGAAGTGTGTCTACCAACACCTCCATCTTGGCTGGAAGTCTCATCATAGCCTTTGTTTTAAAGTCTATTTTGTGTAAGTGTTGCTACCCCAGCTTTTTTGTTCCCATTTTCATAAAATATGGGAAATTTTATGCAGTCTCTGTGTGTCTTTTTTTATTAAACATATTGGGATGACACATTAATAGGATCACATAGATTTCTGTGTCTTTCGATCTGAAGTGAGTCTCCTGTAGACAGCATATGTCTGGATCTTGTCTTCATATTCATTCAGCAACCCTATGTCTTTTGATTGGACAATTTAACCCATTTGCATTTAAAGTAATTGTTGATAGGTAGGTATGTCATTTTATTATTCAAACTCTTGAGTTTTTCTTCTTCTTAAGGTCCCTAAACATTTCTTATAATACAGGTTTGATGGTGATGAACTCTATTAGCTTTTTCTTGTCTGTGAAGCTCTTTATCTGTTCTTAGATTCTAAATGATAGTTTTGCTGGACAGAGTAATTTTGATTGTAAGTCCTTGATCTTTTATCAGTTTAAATATTTTGTGCCAATCCCTTCTTGGCCTGCAGTTTCTGATGAGTAATCAGCTGACAGTCTTGTAAGTGATTTTCTCTTGCTGCTTTTAAAATGTTCTTTGTCTTTAACCTTTTGCATTTTATTTTTTTAAGATTTATTTATTTTTAGAAAGAAGGGAAGGAGAGAGAAAGAGAAACATCAATGTGCAGTTGCCTCTTGTGCACCTCCCACTAGGGACCTGGCCTGCAGCTCAGGCATGTGCCTTGACTGGGAATCAAACTGGCAACCCTTGGGTTCACAGGCCAGCACTCAATCCACTGATCCACACCAGCCAGGGCTAACCTTTTGCATTTAATTTAATTATGGTGTGTCTTGGTGTGAGTTTCCTTGGGTTCATCTTGTTTGGAACTCACTCTGTGCTCCTGGACTTGTGTGTCTATTTCCTTCACCTTATTCTTTTCTGTCATTATTTAAAATACATTTTCAATTCCCTACTCAATCTCTTCCCCTTCTGGCACCCCCATGATATGAATGTTGGTACATTGGATGTTGTCCCAGAAGTCCGTTACACAATTCTTTTTTTAAAAATTATTTTCATTTTCTTGTTCTAGTTGCGTATTTTCTGTTGCCTTATCTTCCAAATCACTGATTCAGTCCTCTGATTCATCTAATCTACTGTTGATTCCTTCTAGTATATTCTTCATTTCTGACTGACCCTTTTGTGTTTTCTCTATCTTTGTTGAAGTTCTCACTGAGCATTGAAGAAGTTCTATTCTTCCCATGGTTCACTGAGCATCCTTACAACCAGTGTTTTTGTTTGTTTGTTTGTTTTTTAATTTAATTAATTTATTTTTAGAGAGAGGATCGGGAGAAAGAGAGGGAGAAAAACATCAATGTGTGGTTGCCTCTTGTGTGTCCCCTACTGGGGACCAGGTATATACCCTGACTGGGAATCGAACCAGCAACCCTTTGATTCACAGGCCTGTGTTCAATCCACTGAGCTACACCAGCCAGGACACAACCAGTGTTTTGTACTTTGCATCTAGTAGATGGCTTATCTGAATTTTGTTTAGTTCTTTTCCTGGAGTTTTGTTCTGTTCTTTCATTTGGGCCATACTTCACTGTCTCCTCATTTTGGCTGCCTCCCTGTGTTTGTTTCTATGTATCAGGTAGAGCTGCTATATCCCCCAGTCTTTGTATAGTGAACTTATGTATTAGGTATCCTATGAGGCTGCCTCCCCAGGCACCTGAATGAGGTGCTCCAGGTATTCCCTCCACCCCCATGAGGGATGTGTACACCTTCCTCTTATAGTTGAGCCTTGATTTGTTGGCACATCAGTGGGAGGGAATGAACCCCAGGCTGACTGGGCAAGATTACAGCTGAAAAGCTGCTGTGCAGGAGCCCACCCCACAGAGTAAGACTCACTTCATCAAGTACCTATTGAGTCTACCCCTTGAATGTGTCACTTTTTTTTTTTAAGATTTTATTTATTTTTAGGGAGGGGAAGGGAAAGAGAAAGAGAAAAAGAGAAACATCTGTGTGGTTGTGTTTCACATGCCCCCTACCGGGGACCTGGCCCACAACCCAGGCATGTGCCCTAGACCAGGAATCAAACTGGTGACCCCTTGGTTCAGCGACCCCTTGGTTCATAGGCCTATGCTCAATCAACTGTGCCACACCAGCCAGGGCTGAATGTGTCACTTCTTGTGGAGGTGGTTGGGTAATGCTCCAGTGTGGTCTGAACCTATCCTCTGGGTGTGCTGGCTCTGGAGCCTCCTGGGAGGTGTAGTTCCAGGGACACCAGGCATGAGCTAGAAAGTGATTTGCAGATGGCTGCCACTAGTGCTGATCTTGGAGGTGCCCAGAAGCCAAGCTGCAAACCATGGCTGGCTGCCGCTAGTGCTGGGCTTGGGGCTGTTTTGCAAAAAAGTACAAGGCATACAAGGCCAGATGCTGCTGACCTCCAAAAGATTGGTGAACCTTTGGGAAATTTTAGGAAAGTCTGTAGCATGAGCCAAGACAGGCCATTTTTGGAGGAAATACCACTGGAAGTGGCTTGGGTGGGCCCAAAAGTTGGATGGGGCAGTGTCTCAAGGTATTACCAGGGCTAGGTGAACAGTGTGAGACAAGTTTATGGACACACAGATATGGTACCTACCTATGCCTGCAGGGGGAGGGCTCAGCAAAGGAACAATGGCTTCTGCCAGCACTTCTGCCTGGGAGAAAGCTGCTCCTCCAGCCCTCACCATGAAGTCATAACATTTAGTTCTTCCCATATACCTCTGGTGCCTTTCTGAGCTGCCAACCCAGTGCAGGAGCTCCAAGTGAGGAAGTCCATGTGTGGGCTCTTAAATGGAACACCTGGGATCTCAGCAGCCCTCCTTCTCAGTCACCCACAATCTTTGCTGGTTTTTACAGCCAAAAGTTATGGGGACTTCCCTTCCTGGCTCTGAAACCCTGGGCTGGGGAGCCTGGTGTGGGTCAGGACTCCTCACTCCTCAGGGGGACTCTGACAGCCAAAATATCCCTCCTAATTTTTAAACTAACACACATGGGTATGGGACCTGCCAGTTCTGCAGCTCCACCCCTTACCAGTCTCGATGTGGCTTCTCTGTATATCATTAGTGTTGGGACTTCTGCTCAGCTAGATTTCATGTGGTTTTCAATGATGGTTGTTCTTTAGTTGTAATTCTGACGTGGTCATGGAAAGATGAGAGTACCATGTTTACCTACTCTGCCATCTTGACCAGAAGCCATGATTTTCTTTCATATGTCACTGCTTTTTCCCATTGGTTTATAAATATTCTTGCCGAAATTTCTAATAGTACAAATAGAACATAGAAAAGAGACTAGTTTTTCTGTAAATTATTAACAACAATAAATCTAAATTGCTGCCCTGGCTGGGTAGGTCAGTTGCTTAGAGCGTTGTCCTCATACACCATGTTTGTGGGTTTGATCCCCTTCAGGACACATACAGGAATCAACCAGTGATGCACGAACAGGTGGAACAACAAGTCAATGTCCCTCTCTCTGTGTCTCTCCTTTCCTTCCCCTCTCTCTCTAAAATCAATAAATGAATTTAAAAAATTTTTAAGTTTATTTTTAGAGAAAGGGTAAGTGAGGGAGAAAGAGAGGGAGAAAAACCTCAATGGTGAGAGATACAAAGATGGGTTCCCTCTCCCACACCCCCAGTAGGGGCCCTGGCCCCCAACCCAGACATGTGCTCCAACTGGGAATCAATCCAGTGACTCTGGTTTGCAGACTGGTACTCAATCCACTCAGCCACACCAACCCAGACTAAAAAAGGATTTTTTTAAAGAAATCTCAACTGCCACAAAAAGTTGATGATGTCGTATCATAGCAAAGATCTCCAGGCACCAAAATATTGTTACATTTCATTAGACCCCAAATTCATTTCATTGAATCCATTGTATAGTTCTTACACATTACCATAGTTGTTACATTTTAGTTGATCCTTTAATACACTGGCTATGCCTGTTGCTATAAATCCCAAAGATCTCTGGTACATTATGAGTACTCAGGAAATGTGTACAAATGGGAGAGATGGATTGAAAGACATTACTGTTGTGAAAAGTACTATGCCAAAAACTACTCCATGTAAGCTTACAAAAATACTGTGGGGTCGAGATAGTACTAGCCTTTCCAAAGTAGTAGCCTTGAGGTAGTAGCCTTTCCAAAGTCCCCTTGGAATGAAATGAAACTGAATTTTGGCACCACATCAATAGTCTATTCAGCTTGCACAAGAATCTTCCTATTAAGAAAGAATATTGGGTATTATCAATTCCTGGCCACCTTATATCCACAGGATAAATCTTACCTATAATTTTGTAGGATGCTGTCCAGACGTTTTCCTGTGTGAGTACATTTTATGATTTATCTTAACAGTGGAGTAACTGGGACAATGGTAAAGGTGATGCTTGCCAGAATGAAAGCATTTACCATTTAACTAGCAGGATGCTAGCCACCACTTCATTCACGCCTCACAATGCCCTGACAGGTCAGGGTTAAAAGCCCCACTCACAGATAAAGAAGCCAACCCTCAGAGAGATCTAGTCACTAGTTCCAGGCCACATAGCCCTTCACAGCAGAGCTGGGGCTTCCTACCTATGATCAGCACAATGCCCACTAATAGCAGGTGCTTGCTGCGTGACAGCTGAGACAAATCTGTGGACCATGTTTTCCAAAGGGGAACCATTCCCAAACACCTGGGGAGTGCCCAAAGGGTGCTCTAGACTCGGAAGGTTTACCAGCTCAGGGCTTTGCTGGTCCAGCATGGCCCCCAGACTCTTAACAGTCTGCCCAGTGCCATGGGGTTGCACATCTTACCTCTTCTCGGCCCATGCTATGATTGGGTCCCACTCGTTCTTTTGAAGTTCCACTAACGTCTCTGGCTCTTCCACCCTGTAGCTAATTCATTGTAAAAATCACCTTCATTAATAAAAAAGTACAATTCCTTCATTCAGTGACAGACAACAGAAAAACACATAAGGCAACAGCAAACAGAACTTCACCACTGCCCCGACCCCACATATTCTTCCCCCTAAAACAGTGTTCTCACAGTGAGGCCTTAGGGCCAGCCACAGAGCACCACCTGGGACCTTGTGTAAGCACAAATTCTCAGGCCCCAGCTCACACCTACAAAAAAGCAGAACCTCTGGGAGTGGGCCCAGAAATCTCTGCTTTCACAAGCCCTCTGGGGGATTCCAATGTGAGCTTGAGTTTGAGAGCCCCGTCCTGATCTCTTCAGTGTCTAACAGGTCCAGGCTTACAGCACTGCGTTAGCACCATTCCAAACACTAAGGCTGTGTCTACTTCAGCCTAGGATGCAGAATGCAAATGCTATATAGGAGCTCAGTCACCACACCCCTACCTACCTATACCCCTTCTAAGAGAGCATGTTCCCAGCCACAGACGAGGTTGCCTCTTGGCTACGGATATAGCTGCTGCCACAGAGGGCTGACACCAGCCGAGGCTAGGCTATACTACTTGTTCTGGCTAACAGAGTCAGATGAAGAGAGCTTCACTGCAAGGCCTCATGAGACAGGAACCCAAGTGGGCACTGTGGAAAGCCAGTACGGTGTGCGCACAGGAAAGAGGACAGACCATAAAGGCATGGGAAACCTGGGCTGCTGAGCAGTGGGTGAGTGGGCAGACTCTCCCCCAGGTCAGAGGGAAGAGCTCTGGGACCCAGTCTTCCAGCTCCCATACCTGCTGGCCAACCGTCCTTCATTTCCCACCAGGGCCCCTGTATTGTTTTCAAGAAAACCCTTTTATCTGAGCTACACCGCAGAGGTTTCCGATCCCTGCAATCAAATGGTCCCTAGCACATATGAAGTGGACTTTCTGATGAGCAACTCAAAAGTGGCCCTGCTGGCTGCCGATCCAGGAGCACCCTTCCCTCCTCGGCCCCCACTGCCAACCCATGTGCCATCCGTGACAGAGTCAGATTCAGGGCTCTCAGGCCACAGACATGGGGCTTTTTCAACTCTCCTTCAATATCACCATTCATTAGCTAAAGGACATGGAAAAGGGAACTCCTTCCACCTGAATGCCTGAAGCTGGGACATCAGGTCTTTTCCTGCCTTACCCAGGGCTCGCTCTAGTCCTTCAGCCTGCCGGCACACAGACTGGACCACACATCAGCTCTCCTGGGTCTCCAGTGTGCCAGCTGAAGATGTCAGGACTTCTTAGTCTACACATTCCTGGGAGTCATTATTGATAATAAATCTCTTTGTGGGTGTGTATTTTTTTAAGGCCTCCAGATCGAGGCTGAATTATGCTATAAAATTCACTGGCTTTAAATCTCTAGCTTGCAGATAGTAGCCTATGGACTGTTTGGCCTATAAAATTGGGTGAGCCAATTCCTACAATAAATATATAAGTGCAAAAGAAGTAAAAAATAAAGAACACAGCCCTGGCTGGTGTAGCTCAGTAGATTGAGCACGGACCTGTGAACCAAAGGATTGCAGTTCAATTCCCAGTCAGGGCACATGCCTGGGTTGCAGGCCAGGTCCCAGCAGGGGACGTACGAGAGGCAACCACACATTGATATTTCTTTCCCTCTCTCCTTCCCTTATCCTCTAAAGAAATAAAACCTTAAAGCAATAAAATAGAATAACACAGACACCAAGGGAAAATTTAGGAATGGAGGCAGCCAGCTCCTAAACACTGGCATCTGACCATCTCTGTGCCCGGGCCGACAAGCAGGGATAAGGATGCCTACAGGAGGGTGTGCTGGGAGGGGGGGTCCAGGGTCCGAGACCCTGCTGGGGTTGGCAACTGCCGCCCTTGGCCCTGGAGCCTGCAAGAGCTGCATATACATCGTTGCAGCCAAAGGAGGTCTCCTCTCTGGGGATCTGCAGGGCAGCTAAATGTTGATATCAACTGGACTGATTTCCCTGCCCTGTGAGAAAGTGGAAGAAGGCCTGCCTCCTCTCCTACTGATAGCCAGGCATACGAGACAGATCAGCCCGAGGGACTCACTGGGTCCAAAGGAAATGCTCATTAAGTGTCAATTACCAGATCGTGTCAGTGTCCAGGAACTTCACAGCTGCCTGGATCAGCTGGTCCTTGTTTCGCTGGGTTGGGTTGTCTAAAGACGTGTTGCACAATGTGGTCTGCATGAAAAGGCAGAAAGTCCCATCACCACCCCCTGGGTCTAGACAAAAAGCACTGCCTTCCCAAGCTCATTGTTTCCAGCCCACAGCTACAGGGAGAACCAGCCAGCAAGAGCCACCAGGCAGCAGTGCCAAGCCAAAGCCTTTGACTTGTGGTACCTGCACAACCTGAGCTGCAGCCCATCAGCTGTGAGCTCATGACAACCAGGTCCCACGCCCACAGTGCACTGTGCTGTCCCTGAGACTTATGTGCTTCCCCAGGTCTCATCCCCTTACTACCAAGCTCGGCTATATTTAATCCTCACAACCACTCTTTGGGTGAGTACTATTATCCCCATTTCAGAGATATGGAAACTGAGTCCCACAGAGATAAAATTCAGTAAATAGGACATATAAGCATTACTGGAATTCGGATCTGACTGAAAGCTTACCAGCTGGCTCTCTTAACATCTCTAAAAGCAGGGAACAAATCAGCCAAGATGGAAGTGGGACTGTTTTCCAGATTTGCCCAGTCAGTAGCAGGCTGCTTAGGTGCTTGAACAATTAGTTTGTGTCCTGTCACCCTAATGTTATCAGACAGTCCCAGTGCAGGCCAGCACCGCAGCAGGCTGGAAAGACATGGAAGCCTGCCTGGGTGTGTGTGTCAGGGCCAAGTGCAGTGGTGGCCAGGACAGCACCAGCCCCAGGGTTGACTGAACGCTCTCTCTGTGTGCACCACGACCACACCCAGGCCTTTCTGGGTCAGCTCATCCCACCCTGAACACCTCCACGAGTGGGCACTATCATCCCCACCACTCACAGATGGGAACCTGGGGCTGAGAAGTGACAGTAACTCACCCAAGGTCACGGTTTGGAAGCTGCAGAACCTGTACCCAGAGAACCCAGCCATCTCCTTCCTCAGGCTGCTCTAGTGCCTCAGTGAGTCACCCTGTGTGGAGGGAGGCCAGCTTCATGGTAGGGGGTCCTCAGCCACCTGCCCCTTGGGTTCTGAACCAATACCAGGTGCCAATTAAACTTCATATCCTAGGAACTGGTTATGTGCTAGTAAGAGCCGTGGCCCTGACCTTCTGTGCTGAACAAGGCAGCACAGACATAGCACAGATATAATACAGACGCTATAAACTGTGGTGCTGATGAAGCAAAGGGGCAGCTGCCATGACAGAACATAAGACAACTGGGCAGTGAGGGAGGGTAAAGTCTGCCCTGAGACCAGAGGAGGAGCCAGCCATCCCTCACAGCACTCTGAGCAAGGGACCTGCAGGTGACCAGGCACAGGGGTGAATGTTTGGCATACTCAAGGAGTCAAATGTAGCTGGAGCCCATCCCCGAGGACTTTGTTGCATTAGGGTAGGAGTCTCAATTCTTGCCAGGCACCCTAGAAAGCCCACAGCAGGCACCGAGGCACAGGATGGGAATTTGTTACCAGGTGCATGGTGTAGAACTTGATGGTGTCCTGCTGGCAGTCCCATTCCGTGGCCACTGCGATGGCCAGGGCCTTGCTGGGGACCGTAAAGAGCTTGGCCTGGGGAGTTTTCAGCTTCCTGTGGTCCAAGTTTATCTCAAAGCCACCTTGAAAGATCAAATGAAAACCTCTCAGAGATCATTAAGTGGAATCAAGTGACCATTCCTGCATTTGGCTACTTGATCTGGTGCCAACAAAGGCAACCCTGAGCCCCTCCACACAGAGCTTTCAGAAACATATCCAACAAAAGTGCGAAGGGCAAGCTCACCACTGAACTGGCTAAAGATAAAAAATGTTTCTATCCATTCATAGAAAAAAAAAAAAAGAGGCAGTCAAAATTTCAGATACTTACCTTCACCCTGTGTGATGCTGACATTCTGATAAAACTTCTTCCTTTCTGTGAGAAAGATTTTTCAAAGAGGCAGTTTACAATAATGTTGAGACAGAAGACCAGATAATGCTGACAGATTGACTTGATTTTCATATCGCTATTCAAAGTCTGCCCTACTCTATGCAGCATAATCAATGGCTTCTGACTAAAGCTGGAGGGGTAGGCATTCACTCTCCAGGGATGAGGGAGGAGCAGGACAACTGATTAAGCTCCCACCAGCCCAGGGACAGTCTGATCACACAGCATCAAGAACCTGCAGACTGTGTGACCCGACAGACTTTTCCAGCATCTTCTGCTTTGACTTCTAAGCATACCCCTACCCCAGTGCTGCCCTGAACCAGCGCATGTGCCGGAAACTAAAGATGGTGTCTGACTTTGATAAAGCCAGAGACCCATTTCAGACAAGAGACCATTGCCTCTACGAAGGCACGAGCAGAGAGCCAGTGTGAACACTCACATGCATGTGCATGTGTGTGGTGTGCAGGCAGTGACTAGAGATCCCAGGAGCAACTCCCATCCTCCATACTAATTAATTAACCTAATTAACTAGCTTGCCTGTGTGTTTAACAGAAACTCCAAACATTTCCTTTAGGAAGGGAAAAATCTGTCCTGCATTTCTTTCTGAAAATAACTTGAATAAAATGTGAAAATATAAATATATTTCCCCTCTTTCACCTGGGGGAATTAAAAACCAAGAGCACTGAATAAGGAAGTATACAGATTCCTCCGATTAATAACAAATATGTCACATTTTGGAAACTATAAACCATAACTCAGTCCTTACCACCCGAGACAAACAAAAACCTTCATTCCTTCACTCACTCAGTTATTCGTTTGTTCCTTCACATATTGACCAGGTACGTAAAGCCTCCAGAGTCTCACTAAAGCTACTTATTGGAAATAATGATGCAGCATGTGAAGGACAAGGAGATTTCATCAGTTTTTAATGCTTTTTAACTTCTTTTAATTTTTTTAAACCAAGCTTCTGTTAAAAGTCTTACTAATTTCAATAAACTGAAAATCAGAACGTGGTTTACGTGCAGGTGGGAAGGGAGTCATGGAAAGCGTGCCCGGCCTTTCTCCGAACACTGTCCGTGAGGTTTTCATCACTCTCACTCGCTGTCACTAACGTTTACATGGGGAAATCACATCCCCGTGGCTTGTATTTACTCAACTAAGACCCAAACTGTTTTCCCAAAAAGTTGGCACAAGTGTTTTTTCACAAAAAATACTTATGCCAACTACGTGCCAGGTACTGTTCTAGGAACTTGGAATAAAACAGTAAATAAAACAGACAAAAATCTGTCTTCATAGAGTTTAAATTTTTTAAAAAGTGATCAGATCTGAGAACTGAGATGATGCTACATTATTCTGACACAATTTACCACCTTCCTCTGAAATCGTAATATTGATGCTATCACACCTGACACCAAAGTAGGAGGGTTACACTGCCTGCTGCTTTTAAATTACCTGCTTTACAGGCCCTCAAGGGCACACTAAGACACAGGTGTGATGAGGTCCAGGATGGTGGCCAAAGCCAGACCAGGCAAGAAGTGGGAAGAGCTCTGGAAGCTCTGACTCATCGCAGGGGCGGGGGTGGGGGTCCTCCCCTCAGCAGGAAGTGTCAGTGGAGAGAGTTCCAGCACACAGCCCTACAGAGCCCTGGGAAATGGGTCCAAGACACTGGGCCAAGGAACAGCCTCTGACAGCACAGGCCAAGCCACCCAAAGATGTGAGGACCACGAGGCCCCACAAGGGAAGCCTTTTCTTTCCTACTTTGCTGGTCAGGCCTTGGTTCTCATCCTGGCCAGCCCCACTTCTCTGTTAGGAAGAAGAAAAATCTGGAAGGGAATGGGATGGAGGACAGGAGGAGGGCAGGCTTCAGCCTTGGGAGTTCTGGCACAGACTTTGGTGAGTCCTAATGCCGTTCCAGGGAGAATGATGTCCTGGCAATAGGACTCAAAGCTCCTGCTTGTGTGAGGAGTGCTGAATTGGAAAGCACTGTCCATTAGGCCCCCTTCCTGAGAGGCTGCTCCAATCCACATGGAGAAACAGGCCGTGTCCTGTGTCACTGCCCCTCCCCTGTTCTCCTGGCCCAGGCTTTAGGGACCAGTGAGTGATCTTTCCACCAGCTTCGATCACTGGTGGCCTCTGATGTGGAAAGACTACAACTCCCACTGTGCACCAAGGCCAGAGTGCTTTCTCACAGCAGTTTAACCACCATTATCTTTTTAAACAGTGCCATCTGGTGGGCCTTTAACCTTAAAGCTAAAATCCTCTCTCTCAGGGTACCCCTTCATCCATAATGGGAGGAGTGGGCTCTGAAAAACTTGTTTCTGGTATGATAATTCTTCAGGCCAACTATGAAAAGAACCCTTCCAACTCAATGATAAAAAGACAAATAACCCAATTAAAAGTGGTCATAGGATCTGAATAGACATTTCACCAAAGACAATGTGCAAGTGTCCAATAAGCACATAAAAACACCCTCAATATCATTCATCATCAGGGAAATGCAAATTGCATGGCTAGTGTGGCTTGGTTGTTTGGAGCATCATCCTGTAAGCCAGAAGGTCCCAGGTTCAATTCTCAGTCAGGGCATATGCCTAGGTTGCAAGTTTGGTCCCAGGTGAGGCAATTTTTAGGAGGCAACCAATCAATGTTTCTCTCTCTGTCTTTCTCTCCCCCTTCCCCTCTCTCTGGAATCAATAAAATTTTTTTAAAGGGAAATGCAAATCAAAACCAGGAGATACCACTACACATTCACTAGGATGGCTAAAATCAAAACGACAATAACAAGTGCTGAGGATATGGAGAAATTTGGATTTTCATACCCTGCTGGTAGAAATGTAAAATGGTGCAACCACTTGGAAAGCAGTGTGGCAGTTCCTCAAAAAGTTAAACAGTTACCATTTGACCCAGAAATTCCACATGTAGATATATGAGAAATGAAAACATGTGTGCACATAAAAACTTGCATACGAATGTTTATAGCAACATTACACAGAATAGTGAAAAGATGGAAACAACCCAAATGTTCATCAACAAAAGAATGGATAAATAAGATGGAATATTATTCAGCAATGAAAAAAGAACATTGGTACATGCCACAACTTAGATAAACCTTGAAAACAATCTAAGTGAGCCCTGACTGGTATAGCTCAGTGGACTGAGTAACCGGCCGGGGAACCAACAGGTCACCGGTTCAATTCCCAGTTAGGGCACATGCCTGGGTTGCAGGCCAGGTCCCCAGTTGGGGGTGCAAAAGAGGCAACCACACACTTATGTTTCTCTCTCTCCTAAAAAGAAGTCTAAGTGAAAAAAAGCCAGTCAAAAAAGACCACATTCCATTTATATAAAATGTTCAAAATTGGGAAATCTATACAGATGGAAAGTAGCTGTTGCCTAGAGCTGACAGGGCCAATGGAGAGGTGAGAGCTGAAGGTCACAGGGTTTCTTTTCAGGATAATAAAAATGTTCTAGAATTGACTGTGGCAATGGCTGCATAACTCTGTGAATATACTGAAGACCACTGAATTGTGTAGTTTAAATAAGTGAAGAATAAGTGAATTATACCTCAATAAACCAGTCATAAAATTCTTAGACCAAATGTATCTACCATAGCATGAGCGGGCTAAATAACTAAACACACTTTTCCCAAAGAGGAGAGGTCGGCTTTTTTTTTTTTTCTGTAAGGAGCCAAACACAGTAAATATTTTAGGCTTTGAACCTATTCGGTGTCTGCTGCAACTAGTCAACTCTGCCACTGCAGTGAAAGCAGCCCTGGACAATACATATGTAAATGGGTGTGGCCCTGCGCCAATAAAACTCTGCTTACAAAAATAGGTGGCAGGCTGGACACCTTATCTACAGATTGCCCCTCAACCTACCACCTGCCTCAGGGCAGGTGATACCTCTGAGGTGGTAGACTCTGAGAAGCTTAATGACTTGTCCAGGTGACAGGCAATGGAGTAGACAAGAAGGGGCTGGAAAGAAGTATTCCAAGTCATGAAAGGCAAGGACCTACATCCAAGACTTATCTAAGAAAAAGAAGATAAAAAACATGAACAGTAAAAAAAACAGCAAACTCACAGTTATTAACAACCACACCTAAAACAAAAGCAAACTAAGCAAACAACTATAACAGGAACAGAACCACAGAAATAGAGATTACATGGAGGGTTAGCAACAGGGGAGTGGGAGGAGGAGAGGGGAGGGAAAGGTACAAAGAATAAGTAGCATAGAAGGTAGGTAGAAGATAGACAGGGGGAGGGTAAGACTAGTACGGGAAATGTAGAAGCTAAAGAACTTATGACACTGGATATGAACTAAAGGGGGGGAATGTGGGTGGGAGGGGGTGTGCAGGGTGGGACAACTGTAATAGCATAATCAATAAAATATACTTAAAAAAAAAAGAGTTCGAACCTTGACTCCACTAGGTGTTTGCACTCAGCCAGATATGCTTCCTCTCCTGAACACCTTCCCCTCCCAGCAGCTGGTGCAGAGCGGGACTGCCACACCACCTCACACAAGTCTCCTTGCTGCAACTTCTCTAACACCCCAGTGACCCTTTCCTAACTCCCTTCTGTCATTCTGACAAACCTCAATGACATGGCCATTCCTAGGGACCAAGCTCAATCTGCCTGCTAAATAAAGTCTCCATAAAGGCCCCACTTAGATTTAATCTTTACCACTCCAGGGACTCTCAGAATCTCAGAACTGGTGAAGTCTCAGTAGATTGCTCACAGGCCTGATTCATGTACCCCCTTTCCACTGTGTTTTATTCTTTCATTTATTCATATTTTCTTTCATGGATGACTACCTACCATGTGCCAAGTCCAAGAGCCTAAACTAGTCAGTGGCAGTAGAAAGGAAAAGGAGATGGCACATGGAATGCCACTACAATGGGAAGTGGCATCCACTAACCTAAACTAACCCTGAGCGTTTGCCAACTTAAGTGAACTCCCTGGGATGCTGCATAGGAAAAAAAAACTATCATTTTCCTTTACATCAGGGGGGTCAAACTCATTTTCACCAGGGGCCACATCAGCCTTGCAGCTTTTAAAGAGCCTAATGTAATTTTAGGACTGTATAAATGTAACTACTCCTTAACTAGGGGCAAGGAGCTTGGCGCTGCTGCTGGGTAGAAACACGGAGCTGGGCTGGATGGAACAAGGTGGAGGGCCAGATTCAGCCAGCCGGCCTTGTGTTAGCCACCTGGGCTTTACGTACTCACAAATGAGTCAAGGTTTTCCCCACCAATCAACTGCCACACCAGCTGGGAGTCTTACAGTTCAGTTAAGGTCTGAGTTAGCATCAGATCCCAGGTTAAGGGCTCAATCCCACAAGACTGACCACCTCATCTATCCCCTCTGACCCCTTCAGACTCCAGTGGAAAGTCCAGGTTGTTACCTGTGCTTCTAACCAACCCAACTGGCCTCTGAATCAGAGGTTCCGATGATGACTCCTCATGTTTGATTCATTTGCCACAGCAGCTCAAAAAACTCAGGAAAACAATTCACTTACTACACACTTATTACAAAAGGGCAACTGCACAAGTCAATGTAGTTAAGGGAGAGGAGCTTCCACACTCTTTCTGGACATGCTGCTCTCCTGGCATCTCTGTAGGCTCACCAACCTGCAAGCTCTCTGAGCCTCTGAGAACCCATGATTCAGGGATTTTAGGAAAGCTTCATTTATGTAGGCAATTAATGATCAAGTCAATCTCCAGCCCCTCTCCCTTCCCTAGAGGTCTGGGCATAGGGCTGGAAGTTCAACCCCCTAATCACACAGTTGGTTCCCATGGTAACCAGTCCCCATCCTTAGGGGTTTTCTAAAAGTCACCTCCCTGACATAAACTCAGGTGTGGCTGAAAGACACCCCTTTCATCTTTCTCACTGTGGAGCTACCTGAGGACGAAAGACCATATATTTTAACAAAAGATTCTCCCACAGCTCTTATGGCTTTTGGGAGCTGTGTGCCAAGAAGAGGACAAAGACTAAATATATACTTCTTATTATAAATCAAAATGATCACAGAAGCCCTTCCTTCTTCCTCTTCACCCAGGCCCTGACAGGTGAGACCTCAGCTTCCAGCTGCATCCAACATTTGTATACAATTGTGGAATTTAACAGAAGGACACTCAGAGGCAACCTAGTCCTTCAACTCACACAGGAAAATGAGGCCCAAGATCACACAGTACCTCAGAGGTTCCGCCCGCCTCAGGACCTGTATCCCTGGCATCGTGCCCAACTGCCTGTAGAGTTCTAGATTTTTTTAAAGCAGGTAGTATCACAGCAAGATCCCTCATACCCCACTGTCACCTCTAGGTGTGTTCTAGCTGCCCAGCAGGCTTCTTCCTCCTCTACACCGTACTCCTACTCATCTATCAGCTCTCTGTCTAAACGTCCTTTCAAAAGCCCAAGACCCTTTTAGACACTCTCAAGATGGGAGTAGTTGTGTAGTCCTTGTGTTTTCACAACTTCTATGTACTTCCCTTAAGCTACTGTTTAACCGGGATATGATAACCTGCACTTGACAATAAACACCATCCAGGTAGGGAGCGCGATCAACCCGTCTGGAAGGTCACCAGGCCTCCTGCCCTCAGCACAGAGAAACAAATCGAATGTAAGGAGAGTGTTACTGCTTTTCAGTCTTTTAACTGACCTCTCCCCAGAAGCAATGAATGAGCCGCTACCTTCTCCTAGGTCTCATCAGAGTCAGAAGTGGAAGAAGGAGGCAGGAAGCATCAAACAAGTCGTTAGCAGAGGTGGCAGTGGTTGTGGTAGTGCAGTAGGAGGGCCAAGATGGAAGATCTGGGTTCTAGACCCCTGCTGGGCGGGCTTCTTAGACACAGAAAGGAGGCAGACAAGCTGACCTTTGCTCTCCACTAACCTCTGAGTCTGCTCTGTGACCTTAGAGTAGTCCAGATACAGACCCGAATTTCCCTGTCTAGAAACAAGGGTGACTTCTGCTTTCCTTACTAAGGAGAAGAAAGCCATAAACTTTGAGAAAGCCTTACATGCCCAATGTCAGTTACTGTCTCCTGCCTTGGAGAGATGTGTGAGATGTGGGAGGTGTGTGCCCTCCGGTGGTCCTAGCCCTAGTCTGGGGGTCTCTTTCCCAATCTGAAATGGGACCCGATTGGGCTGTGTAACCTGATGAGCCTGAATCCTGCCTCGGGCCTCTCAGCCCACCTTAGCCCGGCTCAGCCCCTGGCCAAAAGGGGACGTGGCTTGTTTATCCTCACCTGCCGGTGGAGCGTAGGCCCGGGATAGGGATGGGATGTTCGCTCCCGTCCTTGCGGTGGCCATGGGACTACCTGAGGGTCGGCTCAGGAGCCGGCGCCACCCGTCCCGCAGGCAGAGGCATCTCCACATCGCGTCCGAGGGCCTGGGAGGACAACCGGTGCGAACCTTAGAGCAGGAAACACCAAGCTAAGGGATCCCTAACCGCAAGCTCAGATTGTACGGAAACCTCTCACGGTCTCCCCAAAGCCTTCAGACTCCTCTGGACGCCGCCATCTTCCAAACGTTGCAAACGGCGCACGGTCACGGCGGCGCGCCTCTTGCACACACCCCCCAGTCAATCAGCATCACAAACGCCCCTTGCCCCGCCCCTTTAAGCCGCGCTTCAGCAAGACTACAAGTCCCAGAGGGCGCCTGGTTCACCGCACCACGTGTTTTCTCTGCCCGCCAATGGGTGGAAGCGCCGCTTGAGCCTGCTCCCGACCCCCAGGCGCGTCCGGGCCAATCGGAAGGGGTGTGTGAATGAGTAAGTGAGTGAGTGAGTGTGTGTGTGTGTCTGTGTGTGTGTGTGTGTGTGTGTGTGTGTGTGTCTGTGTGTGTGCGTGCGCTCCCGTGCGTGTGCGCGCGCGCGCGCACGAGGGCAAGTTGGGAGGGGTACTCAGCTCAGGACCCGGGAGCCCTTCTTGCAGTTCCCGGGGGCCTGGTGACGGTCAGAGCGGTTGGTCCGCAGGCAGCGGGCGGGTGGTCCCCCTCCTCCCGTCCCAAACCAGCGCGTGCGCGCCCCGGCCCCTCCCTCCTTGCCACCCTTCTCGGCTCCCGCGCGGCGGCGGCGGTTCCTCTCCCCCTCCCCCAGCCCTGGCTCCGGGGGACCCCGCGATGCCGGTCCGCACCGAGTGTCCACCTCCGGCCGGTGCCTCGGTCGCCTCCACGGCCTCGCTCATCCCGCCGCCGCCCATCAACACCCAGCAGCCCGGCGTGGCCACCAGCCTGCTCTACAGCGGCTCCAAGTTCCGCGGCCACCAGAAGAGCAAGGGGAACTCGTACGACGTAGAGGTGGTGCTGCAGGTGAGCCCCGGGCCGGGCCGGGCCGGGGCCCGAGGGCCTCCTCGCGGCGCTCACGGGCCGTGCCTGCCCCCGGCTCCTCGAGCCCGCAGCCGCGGACCAGGCCCACGCCGCCGGGCCTCCTGCACCGGGCGCTTCACCCCGGGACCTGCCCAACTGGTGTCTTACACTCACCGAGCCCCAACCCTGACCTGCCCCTCACACCCGGAGCCTGTTGTGAGCAGCTCCTGGCAGACCCCAAACACTCTCCCATACTTGAAGCCCGCGACCAGCTCTCCTGGGATCCGGAAGCCCCCCATGCCTGGCCACCCGCACACTTGGGTCCTTGCTCTCCGCGACCTGTCGTCCCAAGATCAGCCCTCCCTTCAACCCCCCTCAGACCCTGAAGCATTCTACATTGGCTTCTTCTGATTCGAAACTCTTCCGTGGCAAGGCCCATGTCAGATTTCGCAGACCTGAGACATGTCTCTTTTTCTCCGTTTTCCTCCGTCCCAGGAAACCTCGTCCTAGGGTTTCCTTCTTGGGAGAGCTTCATCAGCCTCTTCAGACTTGGAGGCACCCTCCCTCCATTCGCCTCTAAGCCTGAGAGCCCCCGAACACAACCGATTCCTGGCCCTTGCCCCCCCCCAACCCCCATATCAGGCACCCATCCTGGGTGCAGCGGGGCGGACCTCCTCACATTGTTAGAAACAAGTCTCCTTTGCCTGTTTCCCCCACTGCCTCAGTCTCTGGTCTCCACTCCCAGCTCCTCACAGCTGCTTCACCCCCAGGCCCCTTTACCCAGGCTTCTCGTGCTCCTACCCCTGTTCTCTGGCCACCTGCCCTGACCTCGATACCCAGATCTTCCCACCTTGTACCTTCGTCTTCCTCCTTTCTGGCTCCAGGAGAGTTTTGTGGGGTTTTTGGGGGGTTTTGGGTTTTTTGTTTTGTTTTGTTTTTTAACTTCTATCTACACAGCCAAGGCTACTTCTCAGCCTCTGAGAGTGGTGGACTCAGAGCCCTACCTCACCCAGTTGTATTTCTCACCCTTATGTTTCCTTCCCATGCCCTTTCACCTCCTCGCCCCACCACTGGACCTGGATTTCTGAGTACCTGATGGCAGCCCCTGATAGCTTTGGAACTCTAGCCTCACCTGCCCAGACCCTTTCCTGCACCTTATCCCTCTTGTCATATGGTAATAACATTTCATATTTTTAAATGCTCCCTTTCTTTCTTCTCCCTCCAAAAATGTTCCTCCTCTGTAGCACCTTGGCCTGCCTCAGGACCCACTCTCTGCCTCACTGTCCCCTTTGTCCTAGCCTGACACCCACTTCCTAGGCTGTTTCCAAACACCCTTCCAAAGCCCTCAAAGAAGCTTTGAGGTCCTAGTGTGCTGCTTCACTGCTACCATGAGGGTAGAAGGTAGAATGTATTTTCCATATACTCACTCTTTGTCCTTTTACATTTTAATTCTTAAACAGTCTCTCTTCTGAGCAAGTATGTCTCCCACCCAAAAGACAACAGAAGTTATTTTCTTTCTGCTAACTGTAGAGCATTGATCAGCTTCTTTTTTTCTTACTATTTTGTGGGAATAAATACCCTCTTTTCTGGATTGGGAAAGCTGCATCTTCATGTTAATCTTATCTTTGGGCCATAAACTTAAATTTCTATTATGATCCATGATATTTGTTGTAATTGAAAAACTTATGGCTGAGGTATTTCAGTCTGTAATTAATACCTCATGGTGATCCCCTTCTTTTGCTTGAAACATAAGAGTTCAATATGAAAGCACACATTTTTTGCAACTAATCATAAAATTCTGACAATGAGATCCCTGGTGTGGATGACTTTTGGGGTGATCCTGACTTTGTGCCCATTGTGTAATTTGATGGTTTCCGACGTGTTGGGGAAGAACTGGCAGGGGAGCTAAGTGTCAGAGAGGAGTCTGATTCAGTTACTGCAGCAACTAGTCTTCTGTCAGTAGTGTGGTGTTTCTGAATTTCTGTCAAGTGCCAGTTTCCTTGTAAACTGGTATAAGTGGTGACTGAGTTGGTACACAACTGCTAGGTCTCAGGGAGGCCCAGAGCAGAGACCATCTGATGGCTGGGAGCCTGGGAGTAGGGGGTGTGATGGTGAGGACAGCGGCTCTGCCCAGGAAGGCTGCCATCTATCTAGCTGGGGAGGCACTACCCAGTGTTGAGATTCAGTGGCATGTGAATTGCCCCCTCATCTGTTGTTGTTTTTTTTCAGCCAGGACTATTTTTTTTAGAATGCTGCAGCCTTTTTATAACTCATTCTTTTCCCTACTTTCTTTTTTTTTTACAACAGCCTTATTTAGATATAATTTACATATCATACAAGTCACCCATTCAAGGTGTACAATTCAGTAGTTTTTAGTGTATTCACAGAAGATGTATAACCATCACTCTAATCTAATTTTACCATGCTGAAACAAGAAACAAAGACAAAACCCCTAAGCTGTAACCCCCTCCAACCCTAGGCATCCACTAATTTATTTTCTAAGATTTACTTATTCTGGCCATTTCATATCAATGCAGTTATACAATGTGTGGCCTTTTGTTTCTAGTTTCTTGAGTGTTTTCAGGATTCACCCTTATAGCATGTGTCTGTGTCATTCCTTTTTATTGTTGCATAATAGTCTATTATATGGGTATACAACAATTTTGTGTATCCACTGATCAGTTGGTAGACATTTGGGTTGTTTCCTCTTTTTGGCTGTTATGAATAATGCTGCTGTGAACACTTATGTACAGTGTTTTATGTGGACATATGTCTTCATTTCTGCTGGATAGATACCTAAGAGTGGAATGGCTGGGTCACATGCCAACTCCATGTTTAACATTTTGAGGAACTGCCAGACTAATTGCTAAAGTGTCTGCACCATCTTACATTCCCACCAGCAGGGTAGGAGGGTTCCAATTTCTCCACATCCTCACCAACACTTGCTGTTGTCCCTGTTTTTGATTGTAGCCAACTGAGGGGGTGAGAAAGTACCTCTCTGTGGTTTTGATTTGAATTTCCCTAAAGACTGGTGACGTTCCACATCTCTTCGTGTGCTCATTGGAGTGCTTTTCTTGGTTTGAGATTCCAGTTGAAAGAGTTCCTCAAACTTTGTGAGATCCTGACTGGGTGTGTTGGTGGTGGTGGTCACTCTGACAGTTCTTTCTCCTCTGCCATCCAAGAAGCCAAGAGTAAAGTGAGGGCCTGAGTCAGTGTGAAGGGAATATTAAAAAGACCAGCCGTAGGATACAGCTGTTCTGTGAGACCTTCTTGAAAATGCCATGTTGCTCTCACTGAGATGCTGGCCTGTTGTTCAGTTAAAGCTTTCTACACTGTGGTGTATTTGAGTTCATCAGCCATCAAAATCAATTTGGGCAGAATGAGAGAGAGACACATGGTTGAATGGAAGCCAAATTGAAATTCTGATTCTCGTGATAATGCGTGCAAAGTGTTAGCCAATTTACAGTTAAAGTTTTAAACTTATTAGCAAGTATCCTTGCCACATGATACCCTTTCCAACAGCTGTGAAATCCCAAGCTATATTGATTCATTGAGAATTGCATATGTGAAGTTCAAGGCCTCAGGTTAGAACTGTGTATCCTTCAATAAGTTCTTTGCTAATCAACTTAGTACAGATCAGCTGCTTTAGATAACGTCCAATGCCAGGGTCAGCAGATGAGAATATTTAAAATGCTTTGGCAGTTTTCACATGGAATACTTTGGTCACCAGCACCAAACTGGGAGCACTTTAGCTTCATTGAAGCCATTTGCTCTGGTGCTGACCTCATCTGGCTGAGTGAGCTCATTACAGTTTTTGAGGATTGCCTTAGTATTTGATTTACAGCGTAATTGGAAACAGTTGAGTCCCCAAAGCTGATGATACATTCCACAAAGATTTTCCAGTTTCTTAACATTAAAATAGCAATGTGCTACAGCACCATTGTGCTTTGTTTTGCTTTAATTCCAGGGGTTTACTTTGTAAATAAACTCAATTGTCATAAAATCTGAAAATCTGCCTATTCAGGATGAGTCTGTATAGATCGGGGTAAAATGCACTAGTTAGTATGTGTTCAGCTGCAAGTAACCATGCCATTTCCAAATAGCTTCAAGAATAAGTGAACCTGTTATCTCACGTTACACGAAGTTTATGGGTGGCTTGGTCTGGCGGCTCACTCGGCCCATTTCTTTCCATCTTTCTGAGCCGCCGTCCTGAGTGTCTCCCAGCCTGTTTCTCATGATCTTTAGGTGGCTGCC